TAAAACGTAACACTGTCTTTGCTTAATTGCTTGTTTGATTCTTTGCAACCCATGAGGTGCAGTTTCATTCCAATCATACCATCATAAGCTTTACACCTCTATTTTATCTGCTCAGCCTATTTTCCAAACAAAATAATCATTGAAATCCATCTAGATTTTGTGTTTATGAATGAGTGAAAAGTTTTTGCCTAATCTTCAGCAGAGCCTGTTTTCCAGCTCTGAAGCTCTTTGTGCACTTGAGTTATCCACACACTCCTGTCAGCAAGAGAACTGGAGCCAGAAAACACCAAAAAATTGAACAGATGATACTCTATTTGCAGTACAAGAAAAAATATAATTAAGAGTAAGTGTTCTTGGAATGAACATCTTCCGGTTCTCTAGCATAATCTGAACTGGTAATTTGGTTTTACTAAGGATTAAAATATGCATTGAACCTGGATATTGTAGTCCTTACTGGCAAAGTTGCAGGAGGCGGAAGGGACTTCTAGAGATCAAGTCTAATCCCTCAGCTAAACTAGGTTCCCTACAGTAGGTCACAAAGGTAAGTGTCCAGATGAGTCACGAATACTTCCAAAGAAGGAGACTTCACAATCTCTCTGTGCAGTCTGTTCCAGTATTCTGTCACCCTCACAGTAAAGGAATTCTGCATATTTGTGGGAGCTTCCTATGTTCCAGTTTTTGGCCATTGTTCCTGTTCTTATCATTACACACCACTGAGAAGAGTCTGACCTCATCCAATTGCCTCCTGTTCGAATGTTACTCACACTCCTAATTCCTCATAACAACAACAACAACAATAATAATGGAATCACTGTGAATACATACAGAGTATCATAGAATGGCCTGGGTTGAAAAGGACTATAATGATCATCTAGTTTCAACCCCCCTGCTATGTGCAGAGTCACCAACCAGCAGACCAGGCTGCCCAGAGCCACATCCAGCCTGGTCTTGAATACTTCCAGGTATGGGGCATCCACAACCTCTCTACAACATGTTCCAGTTCTTCACCATCCTCTGAGTGAAAAAATTCCTCCTACTGTCAAGCCTAAACCTCCCCTGTCTCAGTTTAAAACCATTCCTCCTTGTCCTATCATTATCCACCCTCATAAACAGTCATTCCCCCTCCTGTTTATACGCTCCCTTCAAGTATTGGAAGGCCACAATGCAGTCTCCCTGCAGCTTTCTCTTTTCCAAGCTAAACAAGCCCAATTCCCTCAATCTTTCCCTCGATGGACACATTGGAAGGAGAAGTCCTTGAGAGTAGCCCTGCAGAGAAGAACCTGGGAGTCCTTGTAAGTGAAAAACTGAACATAAGCTTGCAGTGTGCTCTTGCAGCTCAGAAAGCAAATGATATCCTGGGTTTCATCAGAAGAGGGGTGGCCAGCAGGGACAGGGAGGTGATTGTCCCTCTCTATCTGCTCTTGTGAGAACCCAGAAGTACGGTATCCAGGTCTGGAGACCCCAGTAAATGAAAGACAGAGAGTTGTTGGAGAGGGTCCAGAGGAAAGCCACAAAGATGATCAGGGGACTGGAGCACCTTCTCTACAAAGACAGGCTGAGAGAGCTGGGCTTGTTCAGCCTGGAAAAAAGAAGGCCAAGGAGTAACCTAATTGCAGCCTTTCAACACCTAAAGTGAGCCCGTAAACAGGAGAGGAGCCAACTCTCTGAAAGGGTAGGTAACAACAGGACAAGGGGAAATGGTTTTAAGTTGAGGGAGGGAAGATTTGGGTTGGATGTCAGGGGGAAATTCTTTACAGAGAGAGTGATGAGGTGCTGGAACAGCTGCCCAGAGAGGTTGTGGATGCCCCATCCATCCCTGGAGGTGTTCAAGGCCAGGTTGGATGGGCTCCTGGGCAGCCTGGTCGGAGGTTGGTGGCCCTGCCTTTGGTGGGGGGGGGAGTGTTGGAGCTTGATGATCCTTGAGGTCCCTTCCAAACTGGAACATGCTGTGATTCTTTCCTCATAGGAGAGGTGCCTTAGCCCTCTGATCATCTTAGTGGCCCTCCTCTGGAACCTGCTCTCAGAGCTCTAGAAATTCAATAACCCTAAATAAATCTAGTCTCTATCTTGTTCTCCCCCCCAAAGCTCTGCCCCCTGATTACCAAGTCTAAAATCTTCCAAATTAAGATGTCTTTAAAAAATAAAATGTGAATATTGTCCATCAATTATATTCTACTACAGTTTCTAAAGAATCACAGAATTGCTGAGTTTTAAAACCTAGCTGGGTTTTAAATATCTGCAGGAATGCAAAATCCACACCATCCCTCTGTAACTTCCCCAGTATTTGACCACTTTCACAGTAATTATTTTTTAATGTTTAGGCAGGAATTTCTTTATTTCAGTTTTATTTGCCCATTGCCTTTTATTCTGACACTGGATATTACTGATAAAAAATTGGCTTCACTCTCTTTGCAGTTTGTTTTCTTTTTTAAGATACTTGATATTTGTACTGTTGTCTTCCAGGCTGAACAGTCTGAGAGGAATCTTTCCTTTTTAATACAACTCCTTTTTCAAATTTTACATTATCATGAGAGCAGCCATACAAAGGAAACATTTGTATTACTGATCATATGAAAATTTAAAAAATGGAAAATCAGAAAGCTACAGCTTTCATTACCGTTATTTGTATGCATGAAAGGCAACATAACTAATGAAATTAATGATTAATACTAGGCTTAAAAGAGGATGGGAGCAGCAGCTACTGCTTTCCACGGATTAAAAAAGGCTATTGAAAATGTGTAGAAGGCTTGTTCTAAAACCCAATGCCTTCCTTATAAATGTAATATGGAAGAAGTCATATGCACAACATGAAGATTTAGGATCTCTTGATTATTTCAGGACTTCTCTATGCACTGTGTTGTTATGTGTAACTTCAGCTGTTATAGGGAATAAAGTGTGATTCTTTTAGGATTTTGTTATCACAGATAATCATATATTATCATAGATTACAAAGTGTTTTGTCAGTTTTATAATGTTGACAAAGATAATGTGAGCTTATATTTAATGAGGAGAATATGGATTTATTTACCCAACCCTTGAGTTTTTAAGTAAATTAACATTATAATAAAGAACACATGATAGAACTGAGAACAGGAATTAGCCTTCATTTGTTTTAAGTACTTCTCTCATTTTTAGTTCTTCAAAGAAAGATTCAGTGAATCCAGGTTCACTGGAATGTTCAAGGTTGATATGCAGGAACAGAAGCATGTGGTAATGTATTAGCTGTGTTTGAACAAACAGCTATGACTTCCACATAGACAAAACAACTTGGTTGTGAAAGAGATTCAGTGAACCCAGTGAGCAGATCATGTTACCATCCTCTACAAAACCAAAACTCTGTACAAGTAATCATATCCTACATTTGGAAAAGCATTTGCTTTGTGTGTTTACCTGTATGCATATGCACACACACATACAAATGGATGGCATAGAAAACGTGACAGACTCAAAACAGAAATAGTAAAGAAGGTAGAATGTTCCAAATGTTAGGCATGGGAATTTTTAAGAACATTTTTGTCTCTCTCTCATTGACTAAATCCCACAGCTTACTACTCCAATTACGTGAGGAATAATGAATACTCATATTTTATTAAAAGAAATAGATATATAATTTACTGGGCAGGAGGAAGTATTTCTTTGTGGTCTGATTCGCAAAGACCTAAACATGACTTTAAAATTTGTCTTTGAAATAAGTAGAAATTAGTAGAAATTAGTAAAAATTAGTAGAAGTCAGTGGGAAAGACCAATACAAAGAAAATTTATTAAATCTTTGGAGTGCTGTTCTGTGATATGACGTGAAGCAAAGATAAATCTATATGATACTGCACTACGTTTCTATTTTCTTTCAAATAGCATTCAAGTGTAACTGAGGAGTAACTGCAGTAGTAAAATGCACATTTTGAATTCATAAATGTTATGTTTGTTTGCTCTATAAGACCCTGTATTTAATACTTTACTGTACTTTTAAATTGAGATTATACTGAGGTTTATTCACTTCTACAGTGAAAGCAGGTTTTCTTTTTGTGCAGCTCTAAAACTTAGGGATTAAAGTGAGCAGAAGGAGAACCCTGAGTCAAATCCATATCCCCAGCAGACAGAAGGAAAGAATGACATGTACTGCTAGCAGTAACCAGACACTTTACAATACAGAACTAAGGTCCTGATGTGATGTACATTTGCTGTAAGCAGCAGACAACATACCAGAACAGCAACTCCATCCCAAATGTAATAATAAAAGCACTGTGCTGACTAGTATTTATTTTTATACAGACTTAATGAGTTCACTCTCTTCTAAAGACTCTCTCTAAAGCACATGCACAAACAGATGCACAGAGTACGGCAGTAGTGAAGAAATCTCTTTACTTCTTCCCTCCCAAGCAATGAGATAGATCTCCAGCTCTTGCTAAAAGCTCATTCACAGTTCTCTCACATTCACTTTTTAATCTTGGCAAAAAAAATTGATCAAAGCGGAGTGCTGAAGCATAAAAAAATCCTTATCAGCAAAGCAAGTTTCACACTACATTTCTGAAAAGCAGACTAAATTTAAATGAAAGATTAAACATGATGCAGGAAGGGGAAAACAGCAAGCTATCATTTTAGGAATACAAGCACATGCAAACACATAAAACCTGTATACATCAGGACTAGCTTTGATTTTCGCATACTGGTAAGTGAAAAGAACTCAAGATTCCTTTATTTGTGTTAAATAACAACTGAAATATGTCATTTCTCATGATCTTTCAAATCCCTATCAGTACAAATACACGCCTCTACATACTCATGCTTGTGTACATTTTCCCTCACAGTGAGGAAGTGGATTCAAAAATTGGTGTCTAGAATTATGCTTTGTGAAACAGCAGCTGTGACTTGAAAGCAATAGGGTACACTGCTAAGTGGGCAGTGCTACCAGACACTACCACTCCTTTGAAAACACCTTTTCTGAACACAACATAGAAGCTGCTACAGCACTCTTTTCCACATTCACCATGTGCAATACTTACGTGATGGTGTCAATCATATCCAGTCCCATTTCAACACAGCAATGGGCATGGTCCGTTTTGGGTTGGGTTAAGCCTGATACACAATAGTAACAGTCACCTAGGATTTTTATTCTTCTGCAGTGATTTTCCTTTAATAAAAACAGAATGGGAAAAGTTTTACTGTTCACAGAAATAGTCTAATATTAGTCTAACAGGAGAAAATATTCTCCAATAACACAATCATTCAGATAATCCTTTTGCATTCACAGGAACAAATTTATGGTTCACGAGATCTGGGTTCCTTGTACAGAACAGCTGATATACACATATCTATCATTGTAGGCAGATCCAAAAGTAACGTTGTTTTATTTCCTTGGAAACTACAACAGATACAAAGAGAACAGTAACACTATAATGAAAATTCTCAGCTACAAAACACTATTTTTCATCACAGTCACCACCATTAGCTGTGCATTTTCACCACCATGAATAAGAGTCTGCAGCCATGCTTATTATATAGAACGTGCACTAATATCACAGTGGCCACTGCTGAAATGCACCACCCACCACTTCACTGTGCTGACATCCATTATTTGGTCTCTATAAACATTCAGCAAGCATAATAAATGGGTGACATGCTTTTAACATGGAGGAATTAAATTACACACCTTTGCTTCATTTGCACTTCTGTGTCAGATACCATTTTTTCAGACTACCTCTCTTTTGCATAGCAACAGAATTTAATAGAATTTTCTCAGGAAGGTTCAACCTGTTCTGCCATACTGACATTATGGGCCAAAATGGAAACTCCACTTTCATAGCAGGTCTGACTAATCTATACATATATTCCAGAGATAAGGCCCACTGATCAACAGACTTAGGGTAACATTACAGTTCTGAATAAATTTTTTTCCTTGTCATCATATTAGGTCAATATTACTTCAACGTTTCCAGTGAGACTTCATTTCTGCATCAATCCAAACCAAATATTGGGAGCCAAAAAACTACTGAATATCGGGAAAACTTTGCATTCCAAGACAATGTGTTTATCTGCAAAAGAATGCAAATTTGTACTGCATGACAAACTTGCAGATCAGAAGAGATGGTCACTTTGTATTATCATTTAATTTATCTTCTGCTTGTATATAATGCAAGTTCTGCAATCATATTCCTGACTAAATCACTCCCATTTTGAAAAAAGCAATGGGATGTAAGAGTTACCATATCAGTCTGAGCTGAAAGTTCATTCCTGAAGAAAGAACATGAGAAAATGCCTGTAACAAAGCAGTACCTTTGACTAATAAGCTACAAAGAAATATCAACATGTGACAGTGTACCACACAGTTAGACTATACCAACTTCTAATTGTTTGGTATACGGCAGGAAAAAGTGTAAGAATTCAGGGAATCCAACTTCCACAACTGGGACTATGCAGATAAGTGATCTGCTGAAGCAGCTCTTGTGAATACGATGAGAAAAAACTAATAAAACCAATTCAACCTGCCCTCCCTCTTTTTACGAGACAGACTTGCCTTCCGCAGCAGAAAAATAAAAGAAAGATGGGGTTTTTAAACTGGAAAAGATGACCTAATTATACCATTTCAGCTTCTCAAAAGTTTTCTCATTCAGTCTTCTGCCTACAAAAATCAAAACCTTCCTGATGTAGTCACAATATCCTCTGTTCAGGCATAGAAGAGATGATAATGTTGGCAAAATTCATTTACATTTTTTTTCTCCAGATTCACATTAATTAAGCATTAAATGCACAAACTGAATCAAAGAAACGAGTTATCTTTTTGGTTGCACTTAACTAGAACAGAAGTCTTTCTTAAGAGAGGCTACTTAGAATTTCTTCTGATGAACAACATGACTTTAAATATAACACTATTTGTCTGAATATATATTAAGGAGTGTAAGCATAATTATTCCAGAAGCATTAGAACTAGGGCCTTAGAGTGCTCCTGCAGCTAATGGCCACAATCACCAATTTTACATGGAGATCTAATCTAGTGTTTTGAGATCCTTGGTTGAGTGGTATTATATAAGTAAAAACTATTGATAACCAAAAAAAATGATATGCAAACCCCAAAATCCATTCTGACACAAACTGTCTTTCTAGCACAAGGCTTTTTGACAGAAACTACAAAGTTTTTTTAGTAGAAATTACAACATGATACTGCCCAAATAAGCCATTTAAAAAAACCTGTGGGCAGATCTTGAACAAGTAGAAGATACTAAGTAGTTAAGGCTATCCAAAATTACTAGTTCTGTCCCACAAGTCAAAAATCTCCATAAAGCTCTTCAAATTCAGTATGCAGTTTGTGGAGAGGCAATGACTATTTAACCCAACAGAAAGATATTCAGAAAACTCATTATCCGGCCCAGATTACTGGAATATGTATGTGTTAATTGATAAGTGTTCTCTCTGCTTCAGTGTTTATAACCAAAATGACTCATTTCAAATTCCTTGGTTTTCTGAGAGCACTACTGTGCTATAGATCAGTACCTCATGTTTTACAGAGGTTGCTCCAAGAGTAAAATCTCCTAATAATTTCCATGGAAACTACAACAGATACAAAAAGCACATCACTATTTATGAGATCAAATTCTCAGTTACAAAATAGAGCCTGTAACCTTTATGAGGGCTGATATTCAAATTAACAAAACAAACCCATTTCCTCTCTTTGTTTCCTCAGAAACTTCCAAGCCCTTGACTCAATATTTTTCAATTTTGTGACAGTGATGAATTCAAATGTGACAGTTATAAATTCTAGTCAGAGATGATACACACGATGCCTGTTTAGAAACAGCAGATAATTTGCTTTTATGCACATGACAAAAAGCCCAAGAGACTTCTAGAACTGCATTGGTCAAGCAGCTCGCCCACCATAGTCCCTTACCAATATATTTTTAAGCAGTTCTGCAAAACTCCTTTGGGAACAGCTGCCATTAACATGATTGGTCAGAATGAAGTGGAAGCCCCGCACAGAAAGAAAAAGATCCTTAGACATTGCTAAGGTCTTTCATCACTCTTTTAGATTAGTATTTTATACAGCAGTTCATTCTATCAGTCATATATAAATAGTAGAGGGGGAGACTTCTATTTCAAAAAAAAACCTCCAGGTTGCATTTTAGTTGAGTGTTTTTTTATATTTTTCAAAAAAGTGAAGACTACCCACTTAGAATGAAAAACTGTTAACTCCATATCCTTGTACCATGCAAGTCAGATTTCATATCACACTCCGAAGATGAGGTTTTCTAATAAAAGTAAAGGAAAATGAACCTATGGTTTGAAATAAACAAGAGCTGTTTAAAAGAAATAACAAAGTTTCAGGAGTAGTAAGACTTTTCCCAGCAGACATTTAGGTGTTCTTTCGAACAGGAGTAGCATAGTGGATAAGGCTATCCAAGTAAATAACTGTTAAACAAATAGATCAAAAATAAAGTCTCAGTCAAGGATTCAAACTCAGTGTGTAACTTTCTGGGGGAAAAAAAATCAACAAAAAAATCCCTAAAAAATAACAGTAAAAAATTTCTCTATCCTCTAAAAAACAACGACACAACAATACAAGACAGTTGGCTCAGTATTAACATTTTGAAGAGAAGTCTTGGGCATAGACTGCACTAAGAAGCAAATCTTCAGTGGCTCAATTTCTCTCTAGAAAAAGTAGTAACTCCAGGGGGATATTTGCAAACTATGAGAGCTGAAGAAAAAATATGGATAATTCTTTTGGATGCTTCATTGTTGTCAAGAGCTTCCTTACTGTGGCCAGGCAATATGACAGAGGAAAGATCCATTGTTGCTCTTCCTTACAGATATATTAATAGAATCACGAAGTGGCTTGAGATGGAAGAAACCTTGAAGATCACTTAGTTTCAGCCCCTCTGCCACAGACAGGGATGCCACCCACTGGATCAGGTTGACCAGGACCCCATCCAACAAGGCCTTGAACTCCTGGAATGGACATCCACAACATCTCTGGTCAACCTATTCTAGTGCCTCATCACCCTCTGGGCAAAACGTTTCCTTCTAACATTAGTTCTAAATCTCCCTTCTTTTAGATTAAAACCATTTTCCCTTGTCCTATCAGTCACTCTCCCTCACAGTTATAGTCTTCCATTAAGTACTAGAAAGAAACAATGAGGCCTCCCCAGAGCCTCCTCCAGGCTGAACAAGCCCAGATCCCTCAGCCTTTCTTCATGGAAGAGGTGCTCCAGCCTTCTGGTCATCTTTGTAGAATCTCCTCTGGATCTGATCCAACAGGTCCAAGTCTTTCTACTGCTGACAGCCCTGGGCCTGCATGCAGTCATTCAGATGGGGCCTCAAAAGGATGGAAAAGGAGGAGAACAATGATCTTCCTCATCCTACTAGCCACCTCTTTTTTGATTTAGCCCAAGATACAGTTGGCTTTCTAGGCTGCATGTGCATACTACTGGCTCATATTAAGTTTTTTATCCACAAGAATCCTCAAGTCCTTTTCTGCTGGGCTGCTCTCAAGGAGTTTTTTCCCCTCAGTTTGTACTCATGTCTGGGACTGACCCTACCCAGGTGCAGCGTCTTGCACTTGGACTTGTTAAACATCATTAGGTTCACATAGGTCCACATGTCAATCTTGCCCAGCCCCCTTGAATGGCATCTCTCTTGTATGAATTACACCACTTAACTTAGTGCCAGAAAGTTTTCTGATGAGTGTGCACTTGATTTCACTGCCTATGCAACTGCTAGAGATGCTAAAGGGCACTGCTCCCAAGACAGTTTCCTGACTGATACCACTCCTCACTGGCCTCCACCTGGACTTTGGAACATTGGCTGATACTCTCTGGCCGTGGACAGCCAACAATTCCTTATTCATTGAATAGTTCATCCATAGTTCATCCTTGAAGTACAGATGCCTGCAATTTAGAGAAAAGGATGTGGCGTGGGATCAAATCAAAGCCCTGACAGAAGCATGCTTAGATGGCATTGGTTAGATGGCTTTGTCAACTGATGCAGTCATTCCACCTCAGAACATCATCAGATTGGTCAGGCATGACTTGTCTTTGGTGCAGACAAGGTCATTCAGTTGACCAAGAGAAAGATTAATGACCGTGAAAAAAAGAATCCATCATGGGTGACACATTAGTGTTTTCCTCTCCTGTTTTCCCCTCC